TATATATATATATATATATATATATATATATATATATATATATATATATATATATATATATATATATATATATAAATTATCAGATAAGTTTCAGAACTTTAAACCTTTAGCAAGCAAACCCTCAATCTTTCATAAATAATTTTGATATATCATCATCATTGATCCTTTTTGTTACGGTAAGTAATTTTTTTAGTCGTGACCTCGGGGTCGACGCGGCTGGTTCGGGGCTCCGGATGACGGGGATTAGACGTGGTGCCCCTTTGGTCCCGGTGGTTGCTGAGGCAGGGGATCTGACTTGGAAAGTTCCGCGACGATAATTGCGTCCAGTCGCGGTCGAGCACCTGCACACAGGTCGGGTCGGTAGCTCGGCCCGACCCCTCCGACGGTCTAGTCAGTGATCGCGGAGAGGAGTTTCTAGAGAGATCGTTTTTCCTCCTTTTTCTCCCCCCTCTGGCCTGTTGGGGGCCAGAGGGTATTTATAAGGGGGTTTGATGTTACCTGATGCGCCAACCTGCCGGAGCCGGGCCGTACCTCTGATGGCGCTTGTCGATGTCGTGGGCGTTGCGTGGAAGGCCAAGCTGCCGCGGGGTATGGGGGGTGTCAGTCAGCACCATCCCCTGCCTTGGCTGGATATGAGGGTCAGCCGAGGAGGTTGTTGGGGTACGATCGGCGTGGGTGCGTGTCGTGTCGTTGTTAATGCTCGTGCTGGGGCAGTGTGCCGCGACAGAGTGTCCGACGTGGAGATGATGTATTATGACAAATCTGGGGTGTTATGTCAAATCAGTTTTTACCCCTATCACTTTCCAAAAAAAAAAAAGGATCAGTCAAAATTACAGGGAGATGATAACAGTAAAATTGTATTAAAAAATTAACAATATATATGTTCTAAGAGGCTTCAAGAATGAGTTATAGACACCAGCAAAGATGCTCCAAATCTCTCTAATTTGGACTCACCTGGGTGCACCTTCAGCTGTAGAGCCAGGATGTTGCTGCTTGCTGCCAGCTCCCATTATTTTACTATTAGGATGTCTAGATAGGGATTATTTTTATTATTGATCACTTATCCAAAATCTTAAGTTATCAGATCATCATATTTGATTAGACAGACTGATTCGAATTGAATACAAAATTTGAATTGATCGAATATATTTTTTATGTTTAATTTAGACAAGATGAGACTTGATTTATTGATCCTCAAGTCTTTAATCATAGCTCAGCCTTGTCTTCAAAAGTGTTGGTAATTTTTTAGCTTTTGGGTTGACTAGAGATTGAAGGAAGGAGATGAAAAGTACTTAAGTCCAATGAACAATGATTTGGATTCTGATGTTGCACTCCACACACAACAAATCCAACATTTTATATTGGTGGCCTTTTGGATTAGAATGCAATGGGAAAGCAACAACATTCCCTAGAGAGTAACAAAGGTTTATGTAAGGTTTGTCATATGGTGGATGGGTGTATTAAAGACATAGTTCAAGCATCAACATGGTGGTGGGTCTCACATGTAATCATTGGCTTTCCAATCAAGCAAGCAAAGGACTCATCCATGGCTGCAAAATATTTTATTATAGTCTCATGTGTTTAAACATATTCTTTCTTACTGTGGTGATCATAGTATATAAGTTGATATTGCATCTGTTAGGTTTCTTCCTGAAATAATATTAAGGGAAAATATGGATTCTTCAAGAGAAGGATATATTGAAATGCCCTAAAAAATGTGAAAACTAAGAAAGGATGTATGTGGGTTTACTTATGAGTTGGGTGTTTTGCTTACTCTTAAAACAAAGCTAGGAATGTGATTGGCAATTCAAATAGATAAAAATTGGATTCCATTACTTGTTCCATTACTTGTTGGATAGGAACCTTATAAGGTTGTCTCTTTATGATCAATTTATAGGGATAAGGGATTAGATTATGTATTTTTATTTTAACTATGGAGAAACATATGA